CCAGTCTTAATTCTAGCAATGTCAAAAAATATGAATCAGCAATAATGTATATTTGATTGTCTTAAGGTTTTTTTTTTTGTAGTGTATGGTTTGTGTGTACATGTTCCTGCATGTGTGCACATGTGTGTTTATGTGCATGTACATGTTCAGGCCAGAGGTCAACGTCAAGTATTTTCCTCAATCACTCTCCATCAGTAGAAAACAGAGGGTCTGTCACTGAACCTGGAGCTCACTGACTTGGCTAGGCTGGGTGGCCAGTGAGCTTTGGGAACTGGGCTCTCTCTGCTTCCCCTGCTCTGGGATTACAGACGTGGTGCTTCACATGCCTAACTTTTAACATTGGTGCTGCAAATCTGATCTCAGGTCCTCCTGTTTATGTGGCAACTACTTTACCAACATCTCTTAGCACCTGATTGCCTGAAGTTTTGTATGTGATTATAGGTTAGAATTAAGTTGTCTGGATGAAGAGAGAGAGAAAATCATTTAACTTGGCTTGTGAATCAATGTACAAACATATACAGTATATTGGAGATGCCTCTAAGCACAGTTGTGTCTGGGACAAGAGGCTCCTCTATGACTTTAAGGGCCACTGCTATAGCTTTGAAGACCACTGTGACTTGTCCTGTCTCTGGGGACCAATGTCCCCCTTCTTATGTGCTCAAACTTGGCTCCTAGGATGGGAAGAGAGAATGAGATACCAAGACAATGAGTAATGACTGTGCTGGGTATCCTGCCAAGTACTTTACATCCATCATCTCCTTCACTCATCCAACAGCCCTACACAGAGATGAGAGGAGTGCTCATTGGCTGATGAGGAAGCTGATAGAGAGATTGACCAACTTGCTGAAGGTCACACAGCTAGCTACCAAGTAACTGAAACCGAATCCAAGTCCAGATATGCCTGACTCCAAACTAGACATATCCAAAGAGAGCCAGTTTATTTTACTGTTTCTAGTTGTCACTTTCTTTGTCTTTTCTTTCACTTGATTCCAGCGACAATAGAAGGGCTGTGTGCTTCTTCTATTTTGAGACACCCCATGTCTTCCCTTTTGTCTTTCACTACTTGGCATTGAGAAATGATGAACTAACTGCCTGTTTCAGTTCTACATGATCCCATGTTGATGGGTGTCCTCTTCCAAACAAGCATATTTATTTCCTAAATCCTAGGTCTAAGTGCTATTCCTACGTCTTAGCTCTTCCCTACACCAAAGGCAAGGTAACACAGTAAACAAACCTGCATGGCTTTGAAAAGAGGTTCAGGTCCTGTTCCAGCCATTTAACAACTCTGTGACCTTGAGAGGGGGTTATTTAACTGCTGTAAGCATGTAAATCATAATACTCACCTCCAGGAATGTTTACTTGACCTACTGAGCATGGTTCCAGGCCATGGAAATAGAGTTGCAAGGTTTTTAAGTGAAGTAAAATAGGTGTTGTGCTGGGCATATGACCTGGAAGACTTAAAGCTTAGAATAAAGAAGAGTCCTGAATTTTTCCCTCAGCTACTGCGGGGGGGAGACAGAGGAGAGAGGTGTGCTCTGAATAAGGAGACTTATAAAATGACCTTGTAGGGGCCAGACAGGTAGTTGAGGCAAGAGCACTTGCCTCGCATGTAAAGCCTTGAGTTTGATTCCTAGAATCACTAAAAAAAGGAAGAAAGGAGAAGAATAAAAACAGAAAGAAAGAAAAAAGACCTTGTGTAATTAAACATCTCTTGTCTACTGGCTGAAGCTGATCAGAAATTTCAAATAATAGTTTAGCCAACATTTCTTGAGCAACTAACACAGATTGTACATATATGAATGTACTTTGTCCACAGTCTCCTGAAGCAGGTTTTTATCAGAGCATCATTTTACAGAGGAGGAAAAGGCAATCCAGACAGGTTAAGTAACTTGCCTGAGACCACACAGTCAATAAAGGGCAGGGCTGAGATCCGAACCCAGCTAGGGAGACTCCCTAGTTCCTGATCTCATTGAAATGTACCACATTGAATTTGTCTCTGATTTCTGCATCTCATTTCTATGCAGTCAGTGCCAAGCAGCTCTGGGAAGGGCAGAGTTAGCAGACCATGGTATGCTGGGAGTTTATTTGGAGACCGTGTGTTGCCTGGTTCTTCTTGATGTCCCATGGGTCCCCACCCACATTCTTCCTTTCCTACTGCCTCTCTGTGATGTCACCCAAGACCAAACTCGCTCATCCTGAAAGGCAGTGCTGGGAGCCACGGAGTGGAGGAGCCAGCTGGGCAGTGATGTGGGGGGCAGGGTTGCTGCTCCAACTGCTGAAGGCTAAGACTGCCCTTCAGCACAGCCTAAACAACCTTGCAAAGTCCTGCTCTTGGGTCGAGTGTCTTGCCCTGAGTGAGGCATGGCCCAACAACCTGACATGAAGGCTGCTCAGTACCTGAGGGTGCCGTGGCAACTTCTCAGGAGCCACTTCAGACTCAGTGGCAATGATAAGTTGTTTTGTGGAACAGGACTCATCTCAGAAAGGCAATTCCCTACAGTCTCAACGCTGATAGTCTTTGTATGTTATTTTTACCTTTTGTGTGTGTGTGTAGTATATGCATGTATGCATGTGGTGTGCCCATCCATGTACATTATATACCTGTGAAGGACAGAGGAGGTGTCTTCCTCAATCTCTCTCTACCTTATTTTTTTTTGGAAACAGGGTCTTTCACTGGCCTTGGAGCTTGCTGTTTCCACTAGTCTGGTTGGTCAGCAAATCCCCAGGATCTGCCCATGTCTCCCACTCGGTACTGGGGTTACAGCCATGCATCTTCATGCTTAGCTTTTACATGAGTGCTGGGGATCCAAAGTCATGTCTTCTTGCTTGCACAGTAAGCACTTTACCCACTGAGCCACCTTCCAAGTCCCCCTTTATAATTTTTGAAGCAGTGGTCCTATAGTTTCTTTTTGCAGTGGGTCCCCTAAATGCTGTATCTAGTCCTCCTCAGACCCAACTAAGACATAGGGCAGTGGAAGCCTCTAACCTAAATCTCAAGGAGACCCAGGGTAATGAACAGCAAGGCAGAAATCCTAATTTCAGGGTTCATGTTCATGAGGTCAGAGCAAGCTGGAGATTGTGGGAAGCTGGAGAATGAGATGGTATGAATTTAGTGGGTTAAAACCAGTTTTCGAATTATCCTAGTAAGTGTGGTGGCCCTGTTGGTTACTAAGGAAGTATGTCAGAGAGGCTAGGATACATCCAAGTAGAGAGGCAAACTGAGTTCCCTGCTTCTCAAGGCCTGTCTGTCCTACCCATTAGCTCTAAACTTGAAGGGCCATCATTATTGAATCCTTCCTTCAGACCCTTCTAGGCACACTGACGCCTGTCAAATCTAGGCATTGTTCCCCTTTCTCCTGGTATCCGCTGCCTCAGTCAGTAGTCTCATCCTGCTCCTGCCATCATGCCAGATTCCAGCCTCTCTTTCCTACCTTCTCTCTCCCCTGTCACAGCCCGAGGTCTTACCTATGCTCATAGTCCTGGGCTGAACCAATTCAGTCAGAATTTTCTCCCTCTTTCCTCTCCTGCCCATCTCAGATGCTGAGGAATCCCCACCCCCTGCCTTGTCCTCCTCACGTGCCTGCTCTCTGTTTCCACCCTCTTGCCTCTCAGAACTTCCACCTTGAAGGTCATCCATTATGGCTCTGCATTTCATTACCTGACTCCCCAGAAATAGCACCACCTTAGGGTCTCCAGGTAGTTGAGACTTTTGCCTTTGGAGGCCCCTTGTTCCTTAGGAATTTTTTTTTGAAATTCTAACTGTGTTGGTGTAAAATTAATATAATAGAGTCTGGATTGTATTCCTTTAGAATTTTATTTTAAAATATATGAACACATTGTCCTGGGTCCCTAAGGCATGGTGAACTCCAGATACTATGTCTCTGGAGCCTCCTGAGAAGTCAGCAATGCTTGGAGGGTAAGTAGGTAGAGCCCTATGGAAGTGTTTGCTCTCTGGGATCCTCTGGTACAGATACCCTTTCAATTGTTTTTCTTTCATTGGAAAACATTATAGTTACAGTGAATATTTTAATGAAAAAACGTAATCTCATAATCCCAGATCCTAATCTTCTAGTTCCCTGTTCACACACAAAGCTTTTTATTATACGGCAGGCTGTTGTGTTTATGCAGTTTTGTATTCTTTTTCTATTTAACGTGATTTTATTGAATGACCTTTCCATGTTACCCCAGTCCTCTTCCCAGCCTCCAGGTTGACTTGGAGAGGTTGGCTGACTTTCTCCTGTGGGTTTCTCAGCTCTTTTTTCACTGCTTTAAGACTTTTTATAAGAGTTTAGTCTGGGCCGGCTGATCTTTCTGTGAATCACCCCTTAGGTAGTCTGGATTATCCCTTCAGTGATTAGCTTTACATCTCTAAACAGAATGGACTTTGAAGATGGTTTCCTCAAATGGCCATTTGTGTTCAGTGACCTGAATGTCCTTTCATGCCACATCACCTGCCTTTGAGACTAGCTAGCCATGGGCCAAGATCCTGACACATTTTATTTTTCACTTATGGGACCCAGTTGTCAGAGTCTGAGCACATTGAACCAGTCCAGCTCCATTTTACACATAAGGAAACTAAGGCTTGGAGTAGAAGTGGTTAATAGACCTGATCATGGTCATAAGACCAATGAGAAGGGATTTAAAACTTGGTTCCTTAATTTCTAAAGGTTTATACTCCACCCCAATATTCTCTTCTCTGAATTATGAGAGGAACTTTATTCACTACTGGAAAGGGCACCGATAGAATTATCTTCATAATTACTGTGCTCCTATATTACCTCACTGTTACTCTAATGGTATGAATAAACAAAAACTTTACAGGTGAGACTTTTAGTTACAAAGTTCAACCTCTGCAATGATCTCTTCAGTTACAGACTAAGCACTGAACTGACTCACAGTCCTATAGTGGTAAAACTTTTTTTCTTAATGGTCACTTTTTCTTTGGGGTCTGTTGATTCATTTGTTACCAGGGTTTCAAGAGTCAAATCAATTGATCTTACCTGTTCAGAGACAAGGAGCAGATCAATTTTTGTCCCAAAATAGCCAGGCCAACACTGGTACTCGCAACCTGAAGACAGAAGAGCCCTTGTTACTAATATGAGTGACTGTCCATTTGGGCTGCAGGCACAGTCTTCCACAGTAGAAACATTACAAGCCCGGCTTTATCTCTTATTAAAAAGATATTGACAAGAAATATCTCTAAAGCCAGGCAGGGCAGCATTTGAGAGTAATTCTAGCGTTTGGGAGGCTGAGGAAGGAGGGCTAAAAGTTTAAGGCCAGCTTGGGTTACATAGGGACAGCAGTCTCAAATACAAATAAACAGCTCTGAAATACTACATTGCAGATAAAGCAAAAAGATTTATTGTTTGAGGCTCTCTTAAATTAATTATTTTGATAGTGCTGAGGATTAAACTTGGTCTTGCACATGCCAGGCAAGCAGTCTACCACTAAGCTATATCTCCAGGACTCTTTAGTTTTTCTTTACTCATCTCTCTTCTCTACATTCATGTGTATGATTTTGTTTTGGTTCATTGTAGCATTTTTAGCTTCAGTTGGTCAAGAAAATTTGATTTATTTTGTGAGAAAGGAAATCTAGCGATCTACTATAAATGAGCTAATGGGAAGGGCACATGGGAAGTAGAGCTTGGAGAGATATTTTATAGCACATGGGGGCATGAGCTCTGAAACTAAGGGAGAATTTGAACCAACCACCTTCCCTGACTCTCTGAACATACCTGTTCACCTGTTCTTAGACTTACCTTGTTTCATCTGCTCTTATGTATTTCTTTTTAGTTGACTTTAGAAATAGTACCTCGGGCATGAGGGTCATGGTTGTAAGAGCTGATGAAAATTTATCTGTGTCCTTAGACTAGAAATACCCCCAAACCCTATCCCTGGGGCCATAGATTGGGAACTCGATCTGTCTCCATATATGATCACACCCACATATGGGCAAGTGGGCCTGTTTGACCCACCCCCACTATCTATCCTGACTCTTAATTTAGAAATCACTCTCTACTCCAAACAGTTAAAGGCTGTTGACCAGTGGTCCATGGCAGCACTGGTGCCCATGGCTACTTTCCTGTCTCCCCAAACTCACAAAGTCCATGGAGACGATGGGCTCAATGGTGGAATTCTCCAGTTCAGTGAGCATGATGATGGAGGCAGGGAGGTCCAGGCTGAAGTTGTTTGGGTGCAGGCTGATTTCAGGAGGTCCTGTGGCCATGATCTGCAGCATGAATGGCTGGGACAAGACATAGATCTCGGCAATCTGCCCAGTTCAGGGAGAGGAATGAAAAGTCATGAGTTGATGAGGGGAAATCATGAACTTGGGGTGGTTTGCAGTTAGAAAATCTTGCATCATGTAGTTCAGACAGAAAACAGCTCTTTACTATCAACAATAACAACAACACACAAAACCACAGCTGCTGAATACATGTTCTGTACGAGCTACTATACCAGGGACTTTATACAATCTCTTATCTACTCTTCACAAAACTGCCAAGGCAGGTTCTATCACTATTGCTGCTTCATAACGGAGCATATGAGTTGTAGACAGGCTAAATGATTTTCTCATAGTTATAGTAGAATAAGTTGTAAAATTGAAATTCAACCCTAGATCTGTCTGCCTTGAGTCCCTTTCTCTAAAGCACCTTGGTCTTTTAAGGCAAAATTGAGCCTGTAGGTCCATTCTATATGATACCCAGAATGTTATGAAGGTGTGAGAATTAATAGTTACTTTACTAAAGTCACTTATGAGCCAAGTCTGGTAGAAAGCTGAGGCAGGAGGATCAGAGGTTAAAAACCAGCCTGGTTTTATATTGAGCTCCAGACCAACCTGGGCTACATAGTGAGATCTTGTCTATAAAGAAACGAATGAATGAATAAATAGTATTATTTAAAGATCAAGTCCTTTATTTAAGTGAATTATTTCAAGGTGGTGGAGTACTATGGAAGAGACTAGTTATTTTATGAACTTACAATATTTATGATTGTAGTTTAATATGCCCTGTTTACTTAATATTTGTGGATATTTTGTTAAGAGAAAAAAATCCATCCGGTAGAATGGCAAGATGGCCAGACATGGTGATATAGTCCCAAAATCCCAGCACCTGGGAGGCTGAGGCAGGTGGCCAACCTTGGCTACATATTGAGACCCTGTCAAAAAATGAGGGAGGAGGAATAAAGAGCGAGAGGGGATTGGGAAGGAAGAAGAGAGAAGCAGGAAAAGGAAGAAGAATGGGAAGAAGTGTGGAAAAGAAAGGGAAAGGAAAAGAATAGAAGGGTGGATTGGCTTATGCTTGGACCAAAAGCAAATACAGAGAATTGGAGTCTTCTGGAAGTAATTTCAATGAAACAAAAACACCACTGAAACTTGAGCACTCACCCGGGAGAACAGACTGCCAATTCCTTGAGCGTTTTGATTGAAATGGTTAGAAATCTAGAATATAAACATGATCACATTACTGAAAGGCTTTACCTGGATTGTCTTTTCAGGTGAAATGTAGTATTCTCTCTAATGTGAATTTTGAAGATGTTGCACCATAAAACCTTTAGGTGACATCATTTTGTAGCCCAACCTTAGGGAATCCGAAGCTTAAGAAAAGCAAGAGGCTTGTCCCAAGTCACACTCCTTCTGAAAAATCTTTTCACTAGAGTGTATGTACTGTGTGTACCATATATGTACAATCTGTGTGTAAACATTCTACAGACATTAACAATAAGTCTTGGGTTATCGTCCTCATTTTCAGGAATTTATGAAAGATAAGTTTGTCTGGAAATTTACCTTCACTTGTGGATAGTTTTTCAAGTTTAAAGTCACTGGTGCTTCTGTCTTCACCACGATGAACATAAGATTTATAGCAACTTGTATAATTAAGATGTGAAGAAGGCTAAGCTTTAAACTAGATGTTTTTGGTTGACTAGCCAGTGTTCTGACGATTAAAGAGAGGCACGTGGCAGGGAGCATCAGTGAGCACTGGCACCATTACTGCTTGCTGGTATAAACCAGTTGTGATTCCCAATAGAAGAAGAACTTATATTGGCAATAGGACAAGGAGGGGGATGATGATGATGATGATGATGATGATGTAATTGATAAACAACAGTTATGGAGCACTTACTTTGTACTGAGATTGGCTGGAGGCTTATGTGTATTTAAAGTCTTTAATGACTGTTACAACCCTGAGAGTGTGGAACGCTCATTATTCCCCCTTTCCTGGATGAGGAAACTGACACTCACACAGGAGTAAGTTGAATTGACCAAAGGTCATGGATGATAAATGGTGGAGGAGGTCTTTGTATTATTTAAGAGCAATCTAGAACAGTGGCTAGAGATTTTGAAGAAAACTAAATTAAGCAAACCAGAAACTCAACCTTCCCTTCCCCCACAAATAACAACAGCATCTGTTCCATCATTCATTCATTGTCTTGCTAGAACTGATGGTATAAAAAGGCCCAGGAATCAAAACTATGACAAGAAATCCAAAATAGGATACTTCCAAAAAGGCTAAAGATGGTGGAGACTCTACTTACCTCCTTGGTGGACAGCATGACACCGAGAGCCCCAGCTACAAAGTGTGCAAAGGATGCAGATTTAAAGAAATACTCAGAGATGCCAATGTAGAGCATGGAGTCCCTGCGATCTGGGAGTTCGAAGGGAACTGGTGGGAAGGGGGGGTCAACGAGGCTTTCCAGTGGGTAGAACGAGCCCTATGGGAAGTAGAGAGGAAGACTGATTATCAGGTGAAAGCGCAAATATGTCAAAGAAGCTGGACCCTCTCAAGTTATGATCAAGGAAATTGCTGAAACTCAGACGAGATGAAAATGGAATCGGCTTTGGGCTCCTTGGCCAGTGGTTATGTTTCAAAGCTCTGAAACTCTTTAAAAATATTTATTACTTTTAATTATATATCTGTATGGGGGTATGTGCATGTGAGTGCAGATGCTCGCAGAGGCCAGAGGTGTTGAATCCTCCTGGAGCTGGAGTTATGGGCAGTTATGAGCCACCAGATGTGGGTGTTGGGAACTGAACTCAGGTCCTCTGCAAGAACAGTATGCGCTCTTAACCACAAAGTCATATCTCCAGCCCCAAAGCTTTGATGACTCTTGATCACATCTGGGCATATTTGACACCCTGGAGTGTGGCTCATGGAGAAGCTTCTAGCTGGAACTCTTCTCAGATGAAGGAGGGAGGTGCAGTCAGCTGGAAGGGTACCTTGGAACAGTTCCAGATGTCACACCCTTGACTTACAAAATATGTGATTGCTGTGACTCTGGGGAGTCACAGAAGTACTCAGGAGAGACAAGGATTCCAGATGCTCAATAAAGCACTTATGAGGCATTCTTAATCCTGATCTTATTACCCATTGGGCGTTATGAAAACATACTATCTTGAACAGCATTGAACTGATTTGAAAGACTGTGAATGAGTGAAATATAGGCCAGTATTCATTTTAAACAACTATGATATTAGTTTGCTAAGACTAAACATAAGCACAATGACTGCTTTTGGAGGACCAGTGACCACTGTTTCCATATCCTTATGATCTCAGTAGAGGTCAGCAGTTTCCTCAGTCTGTTAACCTGTCAATCTAATGGTGTGTTAAATTCTTCATATGTGTGTTTTCATAAGCATGTAAGGGAGCATGTGTGTTTGTATGTGTATGTGTGTGTGTGTGTGTGTGTGTGCGCCAGAAATTGACATCAAATGTTTTCCTTAATTGTTCTCCATCTTAGTTTTTTAAAAATTGATTTTTTTGCAATTTTCATGCAATATAGTTTGATGGTATTTAGATCTGCTGCCCTCTCTACACTTCCTCCCACTGCCCCTTGCCCAATTTAATTAACTCTCATATATATGCATGTATATTATTGCCTATAGAGTCTGATTTGTGTCCCCAAATATTTTTCAATATGGGTCTGTTCACTGGGCCCACCAAGAGTCCCATCCTTGTAAGACACCGTCTTTCTTCCTCCCAGCAGCCATAAAATGCTAAAAGCTTCTTAGGTTGTGTTGGGATTCCCTACCCACTCCCCCATGTTTATGTTGGGATTTTCTCTGGCTTGAGCTTGCGTAGGACTTATGCATGCTGTCACCATTGCTGTAAGTTCATATGCGTGAATGGCCAGCTGTCTGGAATGCTCTTTCCTTGTGGCCATCCACCCCCTCTGGTTCTTGCAATCTTTCCACCTGCTCTGATCCTTGGGAGGCAGAGGTTTGAAACAGATGTCCTTCTATTTTAGTTTTTGAGAGAGACTCTCACACTAAAATTAGAGCTGGAGGGTTCAACTAGCTGGCTGTCCATCTAGCCCTTATCTCTGCCTCCCCAGCATAAGGATTACAAGCATGCTCCACCACGCCTATTCTACTTGGAGGCTCCTAGACTTGAGTCTTCTCTGGTAGGCAAAGATCCTGATATTTCTCACAAAGAAGACAGACATAGGACACACAAGGCCAACAATTAATTGCTCACCATGAAAGGGTTCAAGCAGCTTTTGAAAAGGCATGAGGGAGTTTCCAAAGAAAATCAAATTGTTTGAAGAATATGCATGTGCATTTCTTTCTGCACATAACGTTTGTCCTCCAAATATTTGCCATTGACAGTCAGATGGGTGCTCTCGAAAGACAGTATTACCTTTAAATTCAAGTCTAGGTAGTTCTCAGTGATTTCTGGAGGATTGATCAGGGAACAGTCCAGTACAGTATAGTTGTCAATCTTGGTTAAAACTAAATGGTGAAGAAAGAAAAAAAGATTTCTATTAATTAAAAGCCTAATATATAGACAGTGTTTGAGATACCAAGTCTCCCTTCCATAAATAATATACATTTACATTTGAAAACTCAGGAAGAGAAGTAAAAAAACTAAATGTCTTTCTCCATCATAGTTCCTCTTTTTAGGCATATCTTTTTATGCATGTGTTCCCAAAACATTCACACACATTGAATATATGATTCTTTAAAAAACTTTACTATTCTTGTATGCATGTGTGTATGGCATGTGTGTGTGTATGTGTGTGTGTACAGGTGCACACATACCAAAGCATGTGTGTGGAGGTCAGAGAAGCTTTTGGGATTTGGTTCTCTCCTCCCGCCTTTATATGGGTTTTAGGAATTGTCAGGTTGTCAGGTTCATTTGGCAAGCACGTCTACCTGTTGAACCATCTCACTCATCCAAATGGTTCTAGTTTTCATTGTTTTCACATCTGTCTACTATCTATCTATCCATCTATCTATCTATCTATCTATCTATCTATCTATCTA